TAAATTTTTAAAAAGCGTCTTTGCTTCAAATCCCCATAATAATTCAGCAAGTTCATCTTGCAGGTTGATGTCTACGTTTTCAATTTGAGCAGAAAATGGCACAATAATCCAATCAGGGATGTCAATGTTTTCCAAATCAACAAAACGCAGTTTAAAATCACCGCTCAATTTTTGTTGATTACCTGTATATATTTCCAAATCTTCTTCTTTTATTTCTAATTGTCACATATCTGAAAAATACTGATAATCCTTCGACCAATCGACCCTTCCGGTTCGGATTGACCCCCATTCGACCCTCTGGCTCAGATCGACCCCCGCTTATGTTAAATAGACCCCTGGGGGTCTATATAGATCACTTTGGCGACCTCTGGTCTGGAGAGTTGTATATTCATTGTATTGACATTTTAAGTATATTTATATTGTTCATTTTCTATGCCCGAGAAAAATTAAAATGAAAAAATACTGATACACAAAATAAAAATTTTATTGCATGGCTTTGTAAAAATCATTTACATACAGTTACAGACGCATCTAAGAATAAGCCTTCACACAAATTTTACAGAAGCTTTCAGTCCACGACCTTGTCCTTTGCTGTCTGCTTTAATGAGAATGAGAAACGTATTCGATGTTGAAATCATTTTTGACATTTTTGGAATATCCTCCCCGCAGAAACTGAAAGTAAATTAAATATTATTATTTTAAGAGAAACACAACTAACTCTGATTGAAATTGGTTCCTAATAATTTGTTCAATTTTACTTTTTGAAACATTTTAGATTTATTAAGTTGTTGTCGTTTTTGATGTGTTTAATATTTTAAATCATTTTAAATTTTTTTAAAGAACCTATTTCTAAAACTACAGTTATTTTATTTAAAAAAATTGCATATGCATTGAAAAAAAACTATGGTTAAAAATAATCGAAAATAATAAAATTTTCTGGCTCTACGGTAACACAAAATAGTTCTATAATTTACAACGAAGAGCTTTTTAAATTATCTTGGTAAAATTAATGAAAAAGTAGAATTTTATCATGTGTATTAAAATTTAGTAAATGTGGTAAAATTTTGGTAGTTTTATCATGATACCTTAGAGCATGGCATAAAAACCTTTTATTTGATAAAATTTACTTTATTGTTTTGTATATTTTACTAAATGTGTTGTAATAAGAACTATAATTTTGAAAGTCAGAGTTTTCGATAAGCCGTTACCGTATGAACGGAAAAATTACCTAATATGTGATTTAAATTCAGTATATTTCGGTTTTTAGAACCAATATTATGATTTTTTTTTTAAAAAATATCATTACTCCACAGTGCGGTAATTTTATCAGATACTTTTGACCGTGTATCCTGCAACTTCTTGATATATATATTTTTGTAATTTTTGCATTTTACTGACATGTAAAAATACTTTGGTATTAATAGCACTGATATTAAAGGTATTATTTAAATTTGTTTGAAAGCGCACTTAAAATATGTAACTAATTTTTTTTAAATGTAAATGCTGTAAAATTGCATATTTTATGCTTACATTTGCATCAGAATGCTTTTTCATGTGAGTTAATGAAAGCTTGTACTATTCGGTTTAAAACAGGAAATTTCAAAAATGCTTTTGAAAATTTTAGAAATGATTTTAATATTATTATTAAAATTTAATCAACAGTAGTTTTTTTCTACATGGAAGTCAAACATGTATAATGAAAACCAGATCTTAAAATGCTTGAATGTAATTACAAAACAACAGCACTACGAAGAGTAATAAATATAATTAAGGCCCGGATTTTGATGACATTTGCATTTTTTTGAATTTTTTGCATTTTTGGACATTTTTTGTCCTTTAGAGCATTTTTTGAGATTTATAGGGCATTTTCTTTAAATTTTGGGGCGTATTTTGCATTTTAAAGCATTTTTTAAATTTCTTGTTAATTTTTTCCAATTTTTATTATTTTTTATAATTTTTTNCAATTCACTAGTTATATTCATTTAAGTTTCTATACAAAATGAAAATGTTTTGGAGTCAATATATTTTCCTTTTTTCTGTTATTTTAGGATATAAAGCATATTTTTCAAACTTTAAGGAACGTAGAACAAGTATTGCATTGCTCTATATTTTTGAAACGACTCATAATAATTTTAAAGAGTAAAGCATTGTTTTAGTTCAATATTTTTCCTCCATTTAAGTCATGTCATAAGGCATTTTTAGCGCAATTTTCGCATTTTTCGCACTTTTAAGGGCATTTTTGCACTTTTTAAGGACACTAATTGAGATTTTTTAGGTCATCAAAATCCGGGCTCTAAATATAATTATTAAAAATGTTATAATTATAAATTTAAAAAATATATATTAATGTTATGTTTGAATTTATATTACGATAGGTTTTTTTAAAATTTATATTACGCTTAGATTGACACTTTAAGCAAGCTTAACATAAAAATATTCTTTAGTTTTAAAGCTATTGTAAAAGTTTCCATGGTGATTTTTTTTTCTTACAATTCTCCTTCTTCCATGTTTGATGTTCGAATTTCCACATGTTCAAAAACACAATAACCATTGTATTTATTGCCTGGTTTTTCCATTCTTGAACGAAAGCTAAAATCTTCAAAAATAACTTCAACTTTTTTGCCCCGAGGTGCCTGAAAAATTATATTAATAATTTACAATATTATATTTGAAATAAGAATAAAGCAGATAAGTAATTTAGTTTTAAATTATAAAGTGAAAGTAGTATCTTGGAGTAAAGGTAAATATTTTATTCACTATTAACATAAATATTGCTGTCTAAAAAATGTGGCGAAATATTTTATGAGATATTTATTATGCAAAACACTTTCTTTCATTCTGTATTTTTACTATTATTGCTTATTGTTAGTAAAAATTTAAATTAAATAAGTATTATTACAAGCACCGTTGATGCTGTAAAATATAAACTGCAAAATATACCGGACAAAAATTATACCATGATGTAAGTATACTACGACGCCCGGTGGCTGAGCGGTAGCGCTTCGCGCTGTCGTGCCACAGGTCCCTGGTTCGATCCTCGGGCCGGGCACGGTTGACTCAGGCTTTCATCCCTTCAGTGGGTCGATAAATGAGTACCAAGCATGCTAGGGAACTAAACACTGGGGGTTCTGCGTTCGGCTGACCACCTGACGGGAACTTCTGCTCCTGCACCTCAGAGTTTTAAGTCAAGAAAACTGAAATGGGCACAGTAGGCCTTGGCCCTCTAGGGCAGTCGCGCCGCTGAGTTAAGTTTAGAGTAGTAAAAATGCTATACACTGTTAATACAAAATATGTAAAATATACCATACACTGTAAAATATACCGGATCAAGCTACGGTAAAAAGTACCGGCACTCAGTGTGCCAGTACTTTTTCACGCAAAATCTATTTTTACCGGAACATGTTACGGAACAAAAATTGTGGTACGTATATCGTAATTTTTATAGTAGTAATTAACATTAAATCACTAAAATTCTCTAATTAAATAAATATCACTGAAAAAGTTTCTGTATATTACTTTACGGTATTTTTTTACTGTATATTACTTTATTTATATTACTTTTAAAAAAATTTACGGTGAAAATGGATTTTACGGATGATGCATCTAAAGTGCCGGTACTTTATACCGTCATTTAATCCTGAATTTTTTACAGTGTTATTTTGTTTATTTTGTTTATTTTGATCGCAATAATTTAAAACCGATAGCTTTTCTAATTGGTTTAAGAAAGAAGTTGTCCATTTGAAATGGATTTCTGTCTCTTTATTTTTGGATGTGCGTTTCAGTCCTTATTTTCTAAATTATTATATTTGTATAGTAGTTATAACAATTATATTTAAAGCTTTAAACTTCATAACACTTGGTAGTAAAATTATAATCTACCCTAATAAATTGTTGGAAATATGTATTAATCATGTCTTCATCAGCATCCTGATTTAATATTATCGTGATCATAATATTCATATTATTTATTATATTAAAATCTAAGCACAATAAATATATTTGCTCGAGTCTCTAAGTTATAGTGATTTACAGAACAGTAGAAATTTCAATTATACTCGTGTCTTAAGGAGGGATAAATTTTTCTGTCTTGGGAACAATTTATTGAAATGTAAAAATTAATCTGTTTACCTTAATCTGCCAAGCGCAACTGTCGTTCGGAGTTCTTTGAGGATAACCAGGCGTTTCTATTACCTTTTCTTGAGAAATATCCCCACCACAAGAAATAGATCCTGTAAAAAATTTATAAAATGAACAAAATATTATTGTAAAGATTAAGCTTTCATGGCTATGGTTATATGTTTAATACCAACGTAGAGCCTTTATCACTAAATTAAAAAAAATTAGATAACATTTCTAAAGTACTAAACATTGCAAATAAAGTTTCTGAAACATTGAGTACTAATATCTTACAAATTAATATTTCTTGCTTATGCATCAAGTACTAACCCTCTGACTGCTCATCCCGCGATTTCCACGGTCAACTTAATTGTAGCAGAATCTGCTCATCCAAAAATGGAGCAGTCAGAGGGCTGCTAAGCCCTCACAGTGAAAGACTGGGGTTCGATGTTTTGGGGAAAATAAGAGTCTGCTCAGCTTCGGATCTATGAGAACCTACTGGTCTGGGAAGCAAAGTCGTCCGGTGTGCAATGTTGACCTCTTATTGCTGCCATCAAGCTATAGGTTTCAAAAGCGTCTAAACCTCTCCGATGGTTCACAAATGGCTTTTCCCAGTGTGCTTTACTTTTCTTACTGCGCAGAGAAAAAAGTATGGTCAAAACTACCAGAATATGGTAAAATTTACTGAGCTTTTGGCTCTCACAATGTAAAATACTCATCTTGATTACTTCCAATTCTCTATAAGAATTTAATACCTCTTCCAACATATCCGTAATGTTTTCTATAGGCTCACTGAGAAAATTAATATAGTTAAAATTACCAGAATATGCTTCAAATTTATAGTATTTCTGGCTCTATGGGAACACCAATAAGCTCGGTAATTTTTACCGAGGCGCTTTAGTAATGACTTTGATAAAATTAACAATAAAATATGGTTTTTTAAAATGTGATAAAATTTGGTAACTTTATCATGAAGCCTTAGAGAGTGGCATGAAAAAACATTTATTCCGTTAAATTTGCTTTTCATTTTTTACTAAATGCGTGGTATTAAGAACTATAATTTCGAAAACTATGATTTCCAGTTAACCGTTTCCGTATGAATGGGAAAAATTACCAAATGAGTAGTTTAAATACAGTATATTTTCGTTTCCATAGCCAAAACTATGTAGTATTTAAATTAAAATTATGTTGTAAATAATAGTTTTCTTTTTTTGTTGTTGTCCTCTTTTAGAAATAGAAATGTCATCACCATATAGTACGATAGTTTTACTAGATTTGTTTCTCCGAGTAGAAAGTAAAGATTAAACAATATAATAAGCCATTATCAGGATTAAATTTCATTTTGCTCAATAAAGCGCAGCTCATAATTCACTAGTGACAATTCATTCACATTTTAACATTTAACGTATTACGTTACTTAAAATTTCCCATGAGACATGAACTTCAAGCTCCAAAATTCATCCATACTGTCATAAGACATTGCTGGAGACATAGATTTGAAATCTTCAATATTAAAAGAAGTCAGATGGACCAAGTGTTTTTAGTTACTTATAATAAAATGAATTAAGAAATTTACCGTAATAGTCACCGACTAAAGTCTCACATCTGGATCCTTTGGTATTGGGAGGACATACACAATGACATGGTTTCAAATCTTCTTGGTAAGGTGACAAATAACCTTCATTTTCACACACCAGTGTTCTCTTATTTGGGCAACCATCTGTTAAGCAATATGAAACATTTTATTTTTCTTTGATAAGCAAAGTTAATAAAGTAGTTGTTCTACTGATTGCATCAATACAAATACTTGATCTTTCCTAATTCGAGTGTTGGAATTCTTAAATTTGAAATTTGTTTTGCACCTAAGGCTACAGATTTTTTTAAAATGACATTTTTAGTCTATATTTTGTCATAACGTACAATTTTAAAAGCGTTATATATAACAGAGTTATTCAAATGTTACGACACTCTTTTAGGAGAGTTAGGGCCTATCATCAGGATTAAAATTGTATAGAAAACCATGTTTGGAAATGACATCGTACGCGGATGCATGCGCTTCTTTATTATGACGTGATCAGATGTACACTAAGAAAAAATTCATGATGCGACAAGCACCCCTAGCGGTGTATGACGACATTTCCTGGAATCGGTTCCTATGCAATTTAAGTCCCGATGAAGTGCTCCAACTCCCCTAAGAGTTTGTTGCAACATTTATGTCACCCCCTGTTGCATATAACGTTTTTTATTTTGAACATTTCGACAAAAAATGGATAAAAAGTGTCATTTAAAGAACTGTAGCTTGGAAGGAGATGCCGATTGCAGATTTAAAATCAGCCACACGAAAGTACCTAAGATCTGTTAAAATAATCTCATGCAACAGAAAACAAAAGAAAATTATTACTCTTTTGTTCTATGGTATTCCACTAAATTAGGGTACTCCACTAAAGTGTCGAAAAAAATTGTTTTATTTCTCAAATTTTATAGGTGATCTGCACATTACTTATCTGCACATTGCTATTACCAAGCCACTCGATAAAATGAAAATAAGATATTTTCTGGAAAAACAATGTTTTTGTACGTTTAAACTAACATAATGTTATCAATTCATTTTTCGCTCTCTAAAAATCAAGTTACTATTATCAATCAATCAACACATTAGTTTATAGAATCAATCATTAATACTAAACGAATTTTAATGCTAAGAATCAAATGGTTTTAAATGTTATTACAATTGAGAAAATTAATCTAGTGTCATTTATTTATTTTTCAATATATGAAAGGATTAAGTCAATAAATACAATCAA